GAGATGCACTGGCCAAGTGGCAACATCAATGAAATCAACTGTGGCAATGGTAATGAGGTTGGCCCAGGATCAGGCAGTGTTTCGTTCTGCTGTGCATAAGGTCGCTATGGGTCAGTACTGACTCCATGGCATCTAACAACAACAATACATTCAGAACTTACTACCTTATTATCTGACAGTCAAAAAGTTGTTGTTAGGTACCATCAGGTCATTTCTGATTAACAGTAACCCTATGCACAACAGAACTAAACACTGTCCGGTCTTCTACCATTCTAATAATTGTTGTGGGTGTTAGCCCATTGCTGCTCACACTGTGCAAATACATTTCATTGGGGCTCTTCCTCTTTTTCTCTGACCCTCCACTTTACCAAGCATGATGGCCTTCTCCAGGGACTGAAGCCTCATGATAACATGTCCAAAGTATAAGAGGTGAAGTCTCAACATCTTGCCTTCTAAGAAGCATTCTGGCTGCACTTCATTCAACATACACCAGTTTGTTCTTCTGGCAGCCCATGGTACTTTCAATATTCTTTTCCAACACCACATCTCAAATACTTCAAGAATTCTACAGCCTTCCTTATTCACTGCCCAACTTTCACATGCATGAGATTACTGAAAATACCATGGCTTGGGTCAGTGCACTTTAATTCTCAAATTGATCATTTTGCTACTGAGCACTTTAAAAAGGTATTGTTCAGCAGATTTACTTAATGCACTATGTCATTTGATTTCTTGGCTGCTGCTTGCATAAGTGCTAATTGTGGGTGCAAGCAAAATGAAGACTTTGACAAGTTCAATTGTTTCTCCATTTATCACAATGTTATTTATTAGTCCATTTGTGTTTTTTTTACATTGATGCCATGTTCTACATATAATTCAGCTTCTAGGATTATTTAAACAGCATTCAGACTGTATAACTATGATGAAAGGGTACAACCCAGGCACACACCTTTCCTGATTTTAAATCATTCTTTTCAAACAACTGCTTTCAGGTCTATATACAGGTTCTCCATGAGCACAATTAAATGTTCTGGAAAATCCATTCTCTGAAATGTTATCCATAGCTTGTTATGACCCACACAGTCGAAAGCCTTTGCATAGTCAATAAAACACAAGTAAACTTTTTCTGGTACTCTCTGCTTTCAGCCAAAATCCATTTGATGCCCTAACTCCACCTCCTCTTCTGAATCCACCTTGAATTTCTGGCAGTTCTCAGTCAATATACTGTTGCAGCTATTTTTGAATTATTGTCAGCAAAATTTTACTTAAATGTGATATCAAAGATATTGTTTAATGATTTCCATATCCCATTGGATCACCTCTCTTTGGAATGGGCATGAATGTGGATCTTTTCCAATTGGTTGACCTAGTAGTGGTCTTCCAAATATCTTGGCATAGATAAGTAGCACCTCCAGTGCTGAAAGATTTCAACTAGTATTCCATCAATTCCGGAAGCTCTATTTCTCACCAATGTCTTCAGTGCAGCTTGGACTTCTTAACTTCAGTACAAGTGGTTTTTGATCATATATTACCTCTTGAAAT